CATCACCAACTCAATGGACATGGGTTTGGGTGGACTTCAGGAGTTGGTGATGGACAGGGAGGCCTGGCGTGCTGTGGTTCATGGGGTCGCAAAGAGTCGGACACAACTGAGCAACTGAACTGAATGAAACATTGAACCTATAATGTTTTCCATCAAATTTGGTAAGATTTCAGTCATTATGTGTACAACTATATTTTCTCCCTCCTTTCTCTCTCTACTTTCTGAGGTTTTTTCCATGTATGTCGGTATGCTTGGTGGGTCCTATAACTCTTTTTTATTTTTCAAAATCTTTTCTCTTTATTTATGTCTATGAATCCACCTTCAAGTTTTATGGATTCTTTCTTCTACCACCTCAAATGTGTTGTTGAGCCCCTCTAGTGAAATTTCATTTCAAATGGTTTAGTTTTCAATGACAGAATTCACATTAGCTTCTCTTTTTATAATTTGTAGCTCTTTCCTAATTTCTTTGAGATTCCCAGGTAACACTAATGGTAAGGAACCCTCCTACCAATGCAGGAGATATAAGAGACGTGGGTGTGATCCCTAGGTTGGAAAGATCCCCTGGAGGAGGGCATGACAAACCCACTCCAGTATTCTTGCCTGGAGAATCCCAGGACAGAAGAGCCTGGCAGGCTACAATCCATGAGGATGTTAAGAGCTGAACACTGCTGAAGCACCTTAGCTCACAGCATAGCACTGAGCTCTTTGTTAACTTATATTTTCATCTAATTTTTTAAACATGACTCCTTTAGTTATTTTTGTAGGTATAGTTATTTTTAATTCTTTTATCTTTTTTCTTTACACTGGAATTATAAGTGATATATTTCTGTGAGTTATAAGTGATATGTTATATATTAATAAATGATTTACTCACCACCATTGCAACATTTAGAGTGTTCTGAATTTAACTACATACTTACTTGTCCCAGGGTCTCTCAAAGAGAGAGAATTTTCTTTTCTTCTCTGAAAGAAAAGAAATGCTTTTCTTTTACTAGTTAGTATCTCTTCATTGCAGTTTATAGAGCTCCCTTTACAATTTGCTGTAAGACTCATCTAGTGGTCAAGAACTCCCTCCTTCAGCTTTTGTTTGTCTGAAAAATTCCATCAATTCTGAAGGACCACTTTGCTGGGTATTAATTCTTTGAATAAACTTTCTGCCCCTTTTTCTATCTCTTCTCCTGCTGTGGCCCCTGTAACGCATATCACTGATCCACTTGATGGTGTCCCTTAAGGCCCTGACTCAATGGACATGAATTTGTGCAAACTCCTAGAGATAGTGGACTGAGACGCTGGGTGTGCATGGGGTCGCAAAGTGTCAGACATGACTTAACAACTGAACATCAGCAAAAAGGATAGGGTCCTTAACTATCTTACTATATTCACTATTTCTCGTTCTTTTCTCTTTTTGCTTTCTCTCTGATGAGGGGAATCCCACTGTTTTGTCCTCAAGTTTGCTGATTCCTTCTTCCACTAGTCTGCTCTTGAACCCCTCTGTTGAATCTTTCAGATCAGTTGCTGTATTCTTCAATCTGTGATTTATGTGTGGTACTTATTTAAAAAGTTTTCTTTCTCTTCATAAAATTCCTTCTTTGTTCATGCTTTGCTCTTCTGACCTTGGCGAATGTCTTCATAACCAGTAGTTTAAACTCTGCGTCAGGTAAATCACTTCCCCTCACAATGTAAAGTCTCTTTCTGAAGTTTTATCTTATTATTCTCTTTGGAACCTAGTGTCCTATGTTCCTTCAATTTCCTTCACTCTCTCTGTTTTTGGTTTTGCACATTAGAGAAGACAGCCACCTTTCCCAGTCTTGACAGAGTGGTTTCACATAGAAGATGAAACTTCTCAATCAATTCAGCCTGGGTTTTTAATTGTCTCTCAAAACCTTGTGATTGTTTCAGCCACACCCTTTGTCCTTGGTACCTCTCAGTCATTGAGGGTGTTCAAGCTCCCATCAATGTCCCAAAGGGAAGGATCACAGTCAGCACCTGGAATTTGGTTAAATGGAAGCTGGGAAAATATGTAGTTAAGCTCCTACAGGGATAAAATGGAAAGCTGACATTTTGCCTATTCCTTTCATGCTTGTATAGTTGTGAGGTGGTAGGAGGTACTGCTTCTTTGCCCATGAAGAACTGCACCTTTGTCTGCTACAGTTCTGTGGGATATGAAAGCAAACCCTATTCAGTGTCAAAAATCCAGAGGCCTGTCCATTGGGCGGCAGCCACAAAAGCTGGAGCATATGTGGACAAGCATATGATGACTTAACATGTTTATTCTGGAAGATTACACAGACATTTTTGGTAGCTCTTTACACTGCATCACTCACACACTGAGAAATGTCATATCCTTTTAACAATGTAAGAAATGTTTACATAAATTAAACTGGTCTCATAACCGGATAATCTGTAACATAGAAAACTTTTGACTTTAAGTAATTCAACCTTTAAGTGAATGAGGCTTTAGGCATGAAACACCCCTCAGAGGTTTATATTTCTCCTCATCTCACTAAAATAACTCTTTTAGGGCCAGGTGATGTTGTAAACATGTGTCATATTTTTATTTTCACACTGGTTTGAATTTTCTGGTTTTTTTCTTTTTACCCTACAGTGGTATACCACCTAACCTGCACTGGGTTCCAACACCCTCCTCTCGATAATTGTTCGGCAGCTAGTTGCGATTTTGGTGTTCTTGCAGGAGAACATACACACATGTGCTTCTACTCCACCATCTTGCCACAACTAGTTGCTGAACAACCATTGACAGGAGGATGTTGGATTCTCCACATCCAAGGACAAAAGAGATGGGAATACCAGACGACCTTACCTGCCTCCTGAGAAATCTGTATGCAGGTCAAAAAGCAACAGTCAGAACTGGACATGGAACAACAGCGTGGTTCCAGACTGGGAAAGGGGTACATCAAAGCTGTATACTGTCACCCTGCTTATTTAACTTATGTGCAGAGTACATCATGTGAAATTCCAGGCTGGATGAAGCACAAGCTGGAATTAAGATTGCTGGGAGAATATCAGTAACTTCAGATAACACAGATGACATCACCCTTATGGCAGAAAGCGAAGAAGAACTAAAGAGCCTGTTGATGAAAGTGAAAGAGGAGAGTGAAAAAGTTGGCTTAAAACACAACATTCAAAATGGCATCCAGCCCCATCACTTCATGGCAAATAGATGGGGAAACAAAGGAAACAGTGACAGACTTTACTTTCTTGGGCTCCAAAATCACTGCAGATGGTGACTGCTGCCATGAAATTAAGAGATGCTTGCTCCTCGAAAGAAGAGTCATGACCAACCTAGAAAGCATATTAAAAAGCAGAGACATTACTTTGCCAACAAAGATCTATCTAGTCAAACCTATGGTTTTTCCAGTAGTCATGTATGGATGTGGCAGTTGGACTATAAAGAAGTCTGAGAGCCAAAGAATTGATGCTTTTGAGCTGTGATGTTGGAGAAGACTCTTGAGAGTCCCTCGGACTGCAAGGAGATCCAACCAGTCAATTCTAAAGGAAATCAGTCCTGAATATTCATTGGAAGGATGGATGCTGAAGCTGAAGCTCCAATACTTTGGCCACCTGATGCAAACAGCTGACTCACTGGAAAAGTTTCTGATGCTGGAAAAAATTGAGGGCAGTAGGATAAGAGGGTGACAGAGGATGAGATGGTTGGATGGCATCATCAGCTCAATAGACATGAGTTTGAGCAAACTCAAAGAGATAGTGAAGGACAGGGAAACCTGTCCTGAGCTTGGAAAGAGTCAGACATGACTGAGCGACTGAACAACTGAACAACATCTACACTGATGTGTTCACTGGCTATGTTTATTGTCTACTCTCTAGTGGTAAAGAACCTGCCTGCCAATGCAGGAGATGTAAGAGACCCGGGTTCGATCCCTGGTAGGGAAGATCCCTGGAGAAAGACTTGGAAACCCACTCCAGTATTCTTGCCTGGAGAATCCCATGGACAGAGGAGCCTGGTGGGCTACGGTCCAGTGGGTTGTAAAGAGTTGGACACGAATAATGCAACTTAGCACACACGCAAGCATAATTGTCATATTCTCATCCAAATTATTGAGGTATGATTCGCTCTGTTTGTGGTGAGAATGAAACAAACTGCTTCACTAACTAACAAACAGAATGGAGATAGGCACCCTTTAAAACACACACATATTGCCATATACAAGTTACATGTTGTAACTAAAAATGTGTGGAAAACAATCTTAGACTGTTTAGATGTTAAAGATCTATGGGAAATAGGCTGCATTTTGAGCTTGCCTTATTCTATTTTCATTCAAAAATTTATTTTCTACATATACTATATATCTCTTACTAGAGGATTTTGGGTGCCTGTGAATCAAGGAAAATTTGCAAATAAGTCAAAATCTAACAGTAACTTCATTCACAGATAGTTCTGTTTTCTGTTTTATTGATACCGCTTTATAGATGGGTTGGAATCAACTAAAGCCTGTTGAAAATATATATGTTAATAGTAACTAATGGCTTTCAAATTTTCACTACTTTTTGTTACATTGAAAAAAATCTATTCTTTTTTTAAAAGTAAATTTTACCAAGTACTTTGCAAGCAGATCATAAATCAACTTTTTAAAAAATGGCATCAGTCAGTCTCACCAGTTAAAAGTGACTGGAGCAGCCTCTGGGAGGATCTTTCAGGAAATTCATCCACATACAAAGAGGACTCCAACGTAAGCATAGCTGACATATCCAGTTTCTATCACTCCATTGCCCCTGGCATTTTCTACAATATAAGTAGGTTTTGAAAAAAAATTAGTAGGTTTTGATTTCCATTTTATATTTACAGAAATTTAAATCACATCTAGAAAAACTTAGGAGGTTCTGTGGACTATTACTTTTCCTGAAGAGTGAATAGAAAAACAGATTAATATGTTACTTTTGATTAAATTTGGAGATAGAATTTAAGATTCATGTGAATAGTCTCAGGCTTCCCAGGTGGCACGAGTGATAAAGAAACTGCCTGCCAATCCAAGAGACATAAGAGATGCGGATTCCACTCCTAAGTCAGCAAGATCTCCTGGAGGAGGCCATGACAACTCATTCTAGTATTCTTTTCTGAAGAACCCCATGGACAGAGAAGCCTGGCAGGCAACAGTCTATAGGGTCACAAAGAATCCGACATGACTGAACCTACTTAGTACACATATACCTGAATAATCGCATTTTTATGCTTTATGATAGCTGCCTCCTCACCCAAAAAAGTCAGAGCTGATCTCTTATGAAAAGACGTTCTTTAGGTTTAGATCTATATAAACTAATATTATTCAGTAAATTTATTATCATTGTTTTTAATTTTCTTTTTTTTTCTTTTTAATTATATGAGCCTTCCTGGTTTGTGATTGAAACTCACTCTTGCTTCTATAACCAAGCTGGAATTTCTTAAAGACTCCACCTATTTGGTTATTTCCTAAGATCAAGTCCCAGGCATCCTGTTCATCCTTGATGCTACAATATAGAAAGTATGATGCTTACATGCTCAATTGCATCCAACTGTATGAACTCATGGACACTAGCTTGCCAGGCTCCTCTGTCCATGGAATTTTCCAGACAAGACTACTGGAGTGGGTTGCCATTTCCTCCTCCAGCGGATCATCTTGAACCAGTGATTGAACACGCCTCTCTTGGGTCTCCTGCATTGGGAGGTGGATTTTTTGCTCCTTCACCACTAGTGAAGACCTCTATAAAGTAGAAAACAGATGTAAAATGCAAACATTGAAAAATTAATCAACCTAAATAAGGATATAAGAAAGACACATGACAGCAAATCTTAGCATAAGACTATTTAAGAAGTCATAACAAATAATTTATGACCAACAGAAAAGAGTAAAAACCAAAATAATCTAGAAATGCTACCAAAATAAATAGCCGTAGATTTTCACAATGCTCTTAGAAAATGTTAAGTGACTGGCTGAATTTAAGACACATTGGACAGGAGATGAATTTCTCATTTCAGATCACATAGTAGGAGAAATCATTAATTCTATGCAAAGGCAGTGTTACTGACTTAGTTAAGAAAGGTCACTATTCCCAATCATTTATTTTTTTCTTTTTTTTTTTTTTTTGCNTGAATTTCTCATTTCAGATCACATAGTAGGAGAAATCATTAATTCTATGCAAAGGCAGTGTTACTGACTTAGTTAAGAAAGGTCACTATTCCCAACCATTTATTTTTTTCATTTATTTTTTTTTTCAGCTTCACCACACAGCATAAGGGGTCTTAATTTCCCAACCAGGGATTGACACTGTACACCCTGCTGGTGTAAGTGGGGAGTCTTAATCACTGGACCACCAGGGAAGTCCCCCAAACTGTTTATTCTTAATTAGAGATTAATTTAAATATTAACATAGGCATTGAAAATCTACAATATACCCATCTGTGGAATAGATTACTGGTAAGCATTACCAGTTCCAGGAAAGAGTACCAGAGTGGGTTGCCATTGCCTTCTCCATACTGGTGTGTGAGATGAATGCAATTGTGTGGTAGTTTGAACATTCTTTGGTATTGCCTTTCTTAGGGATTGGAATGAAAACTGACCTTTCTCAGTCCTGTGGTCACTGCTAAGTTTTCCAAATTTGCTGGCATGTTGAGGGCAGCATTTTCAAAGCATCTTCTTTTAGGATTTGAAATAGCTCAACTGGAATTCCATCACCTCCACTAGCTTTGTTTGTAATGGTGCTTCCTGAGGCCCACTTGAGAGAAGGCAATGGCACCCCACTCCAGCACTCTTGCCTGGAAAATCCCATGGATGGAGGAGCCTGGTGGGCTGCAGTCCATGGGGTCGCGAAGAGTCGGACACGACTGAGCGANGGCAATAAGGAATTCATGATCTGAGCCACAGTCAGCTCCTGGTCTTGTTTTTGCTGACTGTATAGAGCTTCATCTTTGGCTGCAAAGAATATCATCAATCTTACTTCGGTATTAGCCATCTGGTGATGTCCATGTGTAGAGTCTTCTCTTGTGTTGTTGGAAGAGGGTGTTTGCTATGACCTGTGCATTTTTTTGACAAAACTCTGTTAGCTTTTGCCCTGCTTCATTTTGTACTCCAAGGCCAAACTTGCCTGTTACTCCAGGTATCTCTTGACTCCTTACTTTTGCATTCCAGTCCCCTATAATGAAAAGGACATCTTTTGGGGATGTTAGTTCTAGAAGGTCTTGTAGGTCTTCATAGAAACATTCAACTTCAGCTTCTTCAGCATTACTGGTCGGGGCATAGACTTGTGTTACTGTGATGGTTTGTCTTGGAAATGAACAGAGACCATTCTATCATTTTTGAGATTGCATCCAAGTACTGCATTTCAAACTTGTTTATTTACTATGATGGCTACTCCATTTCTTCTAAAGGATTCTTGCACACATTAGTAGATATAATGGTCATCTGGGTTAAATTCACCCATTCCAATCCATTTTAGTTTGCTGATTCCTAAAATGTCAACGTTCACTCTTGCCATCTCTTGTTTGAACACTTCCAATTTGCCTTGATTCGTGAACTTAACATTCCAGGTTCCTATGCTATATTGCTCTTTACAGCACTGGACTTTGCTTCTATCACCAGTCACATCCATAGCCGGGTGTTGTTTTTGCTTTAGCTCTGTCTCTTCATTCTTTCTGGAGTTATTTCTCCACTGATCTCCAGTAGCATATTGGGCACTACCCACCTGGGGAGTTCATCTTTCAGTGTCCTATATTTTTGCCTTTTCATACCATTTAATACAGTATGAAAAGGTAGTATGGGGTCCCAAAGAGTCAGACAAATGACTGATTGACTAACACATTCACTTTATTTTTTCACTTGAGCACCTTAGAAAAGATGTGCCCTATAAAAACAAATTACACAATTTTTAATATTTTTATTGTTGTTGAAAACTGAAAACATATTATATCCTTACCATAAGGGGTAATAACACAGATTCTGAACTTAATGTACTTGAATAATGCATGCACATGCGCTAAGTTGCCTCAGTTGTGTTCAACTCTTTGTGACCCTATGGACTAAAGCCAGCCAGGCTCTTCTGTCCATGGTATCCTCCAGGCAAAAATATACTATAGTGGGTTGCCATTCCCTTCTTCAGGAGATCTTCCCAACATAGGGATCAAACCCACATCTCCTGTGTCTCCTGCATTGCAATCAGATTCTTAACCACTGAGACACTGGGGAAGCCCCACTTAAAACATTTCTCCAAATCTGATCTCCAAAACTTTGTTAGGCTCAATTATTATGCTTTCTAAAAAATTAATATTTATTCATTTTTAATTGAATGATGATTGGTTTACAATATTGGTTTGATTTGTCATACAACAGCATGAATTAACAATAGCTATACATATGTCCCCTACTTCTTGAATCTCCCTCCCACCTCCTGCCCATTCCCACCCCTCTAGGTTATTATAGAGTCCCAGTTTGAATTCCTTGAGTCATATAGCAAATTCCCACTGGCTATCTATTTATCTGCTTTTTTATTGAGTGTAATTTAGGTGGAATTTGTTGAAATGAGGCTGCATCTCACATATATTTACATGTGACACCTGATATGAAGTGCTTTTAGGTGAAAAAAATATGTTCTAGAGTAGGCTTTCCTGCATGTTAATATTCAAAGAAGCAAACTTTGTTCAACATTTGAACAAATTCTTATGGAATTCAAAAGGAAATAGCTGCTTGTGAACAAAACACACATAAAAGAGTTTTGAGAAGACACAAGACAAACACAAATAAAAATACGTCCTGAGAAGAAACAACAGTGAAACTAGTGTTGGCACTGGGCCACATTCCTGGAAAGCAATTTGGTTCCAGCTCCTAGGATTGATGTGAACCTAAGTATATTAAAACCATCTCTGAATTAGGACACAAAATGAAATATTAGTATATATTTACCTGGCAGACTGGTTAGAAGCATCCAAAATATATATTCAGAAAACTGTGTTTGTGTGTATGTGTGTATACAAACACATTGTTGTTGTTGTTGAAGTCATCAAATCATGTATCATTCTTTTGCAACCTCATGGACGGTAGCCCACCAGGCTCCTCTGTCCTAGAGATTCTCCAGGCAAGGATTCTGGAGTAGCTTACAATTTCCTTCCACAGGGGATCTTGCTGATCCAGGGATCAAACCCAGGTCTCACGCATTGACAGACAGGTTTCTTTACCCCTGAGTCACCTGGAAAGCCCCTATACAAACATGAGGATATTTCCCCATCTATTCCTCATCTTTGTATCTGTATATTGTGGGCACACTTTGTTATTATTGTTAAATATACAGCAAAAAAAAAGAGGTAGCTTTCAGAAACTGTCATTATTTTAAACCTCAGTCAAAACTTTACACTTGACAAATCAGGAGAATGAGCTGAAGAATATTTAAGAGTAATTGCCAGAAGCCATTATGGGAGGTCCCGCCCGTGACGAGGTCATGAAGAAAATACCGGGCAGGCAAGGCCGTCTGCGACCCCATCCATGATGAGGTCACGAGGGAAAAACCTGACAGGCAAGGCCGTCTAGGATAAGGGACCCTCCAGGTTGGCCTCGGCCTCTACCCCACCCTGTATCCTCCCCTCTTTCTGCTGTTGTTCTTGTTCGCCCTGTGGCAGATTCTTGTGTTGCCTGCCGAGAGCTCTCCTGCTCCTCTTTCACTGAATGAGGACCAACTTAAAACCCTAATTAATAAATCTTCTGGACGCTGGTACCCTATGAAGAGGCCAGAGATGATGGAAATGCTTCCATTCAAACATTTTGCTGGCATTCTGGCTTGTTTGATAAATGTGTGATCTCATTGCACAAAATGCTCTTGATTGTTCTAAACATCCTAAACACAGTACCCTAACAAAAGAAACTATTAAGCATAGGCCCCTTCATGGGTGAGAAAAGCTCCACAAATATGATAGCCACAAATATGCCTAAAAGAAAATACTTTAGATAGAGATTAGCTGACGACTTCTTGCAGGTAGTTAACTTTTAGACTAAGAGCCTGTTTTGTGCCATATCTGCTGTTTCTGTAGTCCTTCCCATTTCTGTTCTGTAAAAATGTAATCCTATCTAGTTCCCATAGAGAAGACGCTTATTAGAAAGAAAATAGATTAATTATAAGAAAAACAGGGTCAGCTACTGAAGTTGCTTAAGTCACACCAGGTGCAAGCCATAAAATGTTATCAGGCCTGAAGGCCAAATGATAAGAAAGACCCTTGTGAAGGAAAAGTATGTGGGTGACATCCTGTTTCTGTTGAAGGTCAAGTTGCTATAATGTTTTGAGATGCCCTGTGTGTAAGCAATAGGCACTTCCCCCAAAAAGATGTTGTTAAAGGTATAAAGGGGTCATGCAAAAATAAACTTCAGACTCAGCCCCGAGCTCTGTCTCACTCTCTCTCTCTCTCTCATTCGCTGACACCGTTCATCCTGAGGGTTCCCCTGGATCCTGCTGGGGCTGGACCCCGACAAGTAATAAACAGTTAATTTCCCAATTCATTAATTTCATCATGTGTTTAAACATAGCACAAGTTGTGTTTCAAAATACCATTTCCTGTTATAATTTGTAAGAAAAGAAAATACAAATTCAGCTAAAGAATATTCTTTTGAAAGCAGAATCCCTGAAACCCAGCTCTAAGTATATCTCTAAGTTGATATATTTTTTAAAGGTATAATTGAGTTATTACTGGTAAATTAATAAGAAAAGAACTACAGATGATGTGGGCCTTACATACCTTCTTGAAATGTTTTGTAGAGGCTTATAATCATCCACCCTACAGAATAAGGTAGTTCTATCTTTGCTCATAGCGACATGATCAGTCCCAGGGTTTCCCCTCCTGGAGATCTTGGTGGAGCAGAGAGGCCTGAAAGTCTAGCTCCAAGCCCTCCAACTGTCCAAAGAAACTGCCGGTATGAGGCCAACTGCTGCTCCTTGGGGATGGAAGGGTCCTGCCCCAGGATTCCAAGGATGGTACTGGCCTCAGTGGCAGTTAAATGAGAAGACTGTACTGTGCAGGCTTGATGGGCATCCATGTGTAATGGCCAAGCCTGTGGGAAAGGAGAAAATCCTTCCCTGGAGACATCCAGTGGGAGACATCCAGAAGGGCATTCTGCTGAGGACATTGTGGGTGGATCATTCAACATAGCCTTTAAGATATTTGTTTTTAATGAGAGGATAATTGCTTTACCATGCTTGTGGGCGTTTCTGCTGTATAGCCATGTGAGTCACTCATCATAATTATATTTCTGCTATACAGTTATGTATATATATATGATATAAAGCATATACATTATGTATTCCCGCCCTCGTGAGCCTCCCTCCTACCTCCTACACCCCATCCCTCCAGGTCCTCACCAAGCACCAGGCCAGGCTTCCTGTGATATATAACAGCTTCCCATTAGCTATCTATTCTACACATGGTAGTATATATGTCAATATTACTTTCTAAATTCAGCCCAACCTCTCCTTCCCCTGCTGTGTCCACAAGCCTGTTCTCTATGTCTACATCTCTGTTCCTTACCTGCAAAAAGATTAATCAGTACCATTTTTCTAGATTCCATATGTATGCATTACCCATATATAGGCATTAATATAGAAATGTGTTTTTCTCTTTTCTGACTTACTTCAGTCTACATTCATTCACCTCACTACAATAGAGTCAATATCCTTCCTTTTTATGGCTGAATAATGTTCCACTGTATATATGTACCCCAACATCTTTATCCATTCATCTGTCAATGATGTCTAAGTTACTTCCACATCCTGGCTACTGTAAATAGTGCTGCAATGAGCATCGGGGCACATGCATCTTTTTGAATTGTGGTTTTCTCAAGGTATATGCCCAGTGATGGGATTACTGGGTCATACGGTAGTTTTATTCCTAGTTTTTTAAGGAATCTCCATACTGCTGTGCATAGGGGCTGTATCAATTTACATTCCCACCAACAGTGCAGTGCAAGAGGGTTCCCTTGCCTCCACATTCTCTGTAGCCATTCTGACTGGTGTGAAGTGATACCTCATTGTAGTTTTGATTTGTATTTCTCTAATAGTGAGTGATGTTGAGTATTTTTTCATGTGTTTATTGGCCATCTGTTTGTCTTCTTTGGAGAAATGTCTGTTTAGGTCTTCTGCCTGTTTTTTGATTGGGTTGTTAGTTCTTTCTGATATTGAGCTGCATGAGTTGTTTATATATTTTGGAGGTTAATCCTTTGTCAATTGTTTTCTTTGCAATTATTTTCTCCCATTCTGACAAGTGTCTTTTAATCTTGTTTATAGTTTCCTTTGTTGTGCAAGTGCTTTTAAATTTAATTAGGTCTTATTTGCTTATTTTTGTTTATATTTCCAATACTCTATGAGGTGGGTCAGAGAGGATCTTGCTATTATGTAATCAAAGACTGTTCTGCATATGTTTTCCTCTAAGAGTTTACAGTTTCTTGCCTTACATTTAAGTCTTTAAGCCATTTTGAGTTTGTTTTTGTGTGTTGTGCTAGAAATTGTTCTAATTTCAAAGAGTCCTTCATCCATAGTTCTCCAGGCAGCCTGTCTATTAGATCAAATCCCTTGTATCTACTTCTCACTTCCTCTATATAATCATAAGGGATTTGATTTAGGTCATGTCTGAATGGTCTAGTGGTTTTCCCTACTTTCTTCAATTTAAGTCTGAATTTGGCAATACGGAGTTCATGATCTGAGCTACAGTCAGCTCCCAGTCTTGTTTTTGCTGACTGTATAGAGCTTTTCCATCATTGGCTGCAAAGAATATATTCGATCTGGCTTCAAGCCTTGTGGAGTCTCTCGTTTTTGTTTTTTGTATCACTGCTTTTAGAATTCTATTTTTGTCTTTGATTTTAGACAATTTTATTTATTTTTGTCTTTGATTATAGACAATTTTATTATGATGTGCCTTAGAGGAGACTGCTTTGGGTTGAAGCTGTTTGTGGATCTATGAGTTTCATGAACTTAGACATCTAAGTCTTTCCCCAGATTTGGAAAGTTCTCAGCCATTATTTCTTTAAACATCTTTTCTGGCCTTTCTTTTTCTCTTTTCTTCTTCCAGGTCGCCAATAATGCATAGACTATTTCACTTAATGGTATCCCANTTTTTTTTTTTTTTTTTTTTTTTGCTTTTGGCCCAGTCTCTTCATTTTTTCCTGAGTTATTGCTATAATCTTCTCCAGTAGCATATTTTGGGCACCTACCGACCTGAGGAGTTCATTTTTCAGTGTAATATCTTTTTGCCTTTTCACACTGTTCATGGGGTTCTCAAGGCAAGAATACTGAAGTGGCCTGCCATTCCCTTCTCCAGTGGACCGCATTTTGTCAGAACTCTCCACCATGACCCGTCTGTCTTGGGTGGCCCTACAGGGCATGGCTCAACATTTTATTGAGCTACACAAGGCCGAGATCCATGTGATATTGGTATGTATAGCAAAAAAATATTTTTTTCTTAATGTCTTTGAAATTTTGCCAAATTTCCTGAAACTCCTGCATTTACTACTAATTTCTTGCTATATTTTTTCTCCATGACATTTGCCATTATTCAAGTCTATATACTTATAAGCTCTGCTCAATGTGCTACGTCTTCACTTACAATCAAACGTTATTCCTCAGTAACATCTGTAAGCTGCCGATTCTTTACATTTCAGAATGTGTTTTCTACTATTTTCTAGGGAAGAAAAATTTTATATCCTACACTGCTAAATTTTACATACTTTTAAAGTCTAATTTAAGAAATGTAATTTAAATTACCTGAGCTTATTTTTAGATTATTATTCATAAAATTTTGCTGAATCCTCTATAACTGATTTAACATATTTCTACATAGTCATATATACCTTCTACAACATTTATAAAACAAGCAATTCAAAGAATTTTTGACAATTCTGATCATATATCTACTTATTGAACATACCTTTCAAATCTGTTTATGACTAATATTCTCCTTTTAATGTGGTCTACATAGTATAACTCAGAGCTTAAAATAGCCAAATTGAAATGAAGTATATGAAATACACATATTATTTTGTTTGTAGAAACTGAAAGCATAGATTTAATTAATTTTATTAATTATATAATTAATAATTAAATAATTTGTTATTAGCTATTTAAAATAATAATTTTCAGCTGTGACAATTTTAGTTTTACTGTGTCTTTTCTAACAAGTATAATTCCTTTGCCTTACCCAAGAAATAATTTAATTCTTATAATTTTAGTGATAGGGGTAACTTGCCTATATATTTTTATCTCTTTGATTTTGATCCCAGATTCTGTTTACCTTCAGGTTCACACACCAACAATAAGGAGAAAGGAATATCATGGTAGAATCCTCTTTCCAAACTAAGATACTTGATACGGTACAAATTTAGCAGGTCCTTGAAAAATTACAGTAAGTTGGTTTTGGTCTCTAATTCACCCCTTCCTTCCTTTCTCCCTCCATTCTTTCCTTCTTCCCTTCCTTCCCTCCTTGCCTTGCTCCTGCTTTCCTACTTTCCTTCCACCCCCACTTCTTCTGTCTCTCCCTCCTCCCCTCCCTCTTTTCCATCCCTCCTTCTTTCTTTCATTGTCTCCTAGAGACTTCTGGCTAAAGATAGCAGATTCAAAAATGCATACATTTTTTTCTTTCTTATGAAATTCATTAAACCAACTAAAGAGGGAAAAAGAGTGCACAAATAAGTCAACATAATTTTGCAAGAGAGAAGAGCCTGAGTGTAGGGTTAAGAGGGCTGAAAAATCTATCAGGTATTTAGAAAGGATTTGCCAGAAAGTCACAAGATAATTAATATCTTGGGAACCTAGAAGGATTCAGGGATTAGGGACTCTAGATTATGAAACTGACCAATTTCCAAGAGCCAGAGACAGTTTTGAAGCTTCTGGATCATCTAGATCTTGATGCTCCCTGCTGTGAGTATGGCAGAAATTGTATATATGTGTGAACACTACCAAAACACTTCCTGTGGGAGTTTGTTAGAAAGTAAAAGTATATGAGACTGAACACAGCATTGTAACCTATCAAGGGGAGTTACAGAATTAAGTGTAGACTGAATACTTTTTCTTTTTTCTTTCTTGTCCATTTGGTAAAAAAAAAAAAAATTTACCCTTTGGAGTATTAAGAAGTCATCAACTCAGTTGGTAAAGAATCCGCCTGCAATGCAGGAGACCCTGGTTTGATTCCTGGGTCAGGAAGATCTGTTGGAGAAGGGATAGGCTATTCTTGGGCTTGCCTGGTGGCTCAGCTGGTAAAGAATCTATCTGCAATGCAGGAGACCTGGGTTCGATCCTTGGGTTAGAAAGATNATCATTAAAGTAGATATTAACAAGGCAAGGAAAACTAGTTGCTTGGGAGCAATGAGAAATATATATGCATCACTAAAATGCTCCTTTTGGAGAGGGCTTGGTATGCAATGTGAGGATTTTGATGACTGATACACACTTTGTGTATGTTAATGTACATTTTGATTATTTATGTACACTTTCTTGCATTCAGATGTGAGGACACCCTTCTGGTCATTTTATTAGGCCATGTGTATACATTAGGCATAGATTGAATGATACCTTTTGTAAGATTCTACAGAATTTGAAGCACAGTGTCCTTTTATAGCCCTATAATGAATGTAATATAGAACCGGTCCTAGTCTTGGAGATTGTACATTTTAAAAGATTTAAGAAATGAATCCTAAATAGTTCATCAGTTTAAACTATGGTTCCTGGACATTAGGATTTTATCATGTTTTAGAAATATGCATAATAACATTTGAGGGCAATGCCACATTTTGAGAAAACAAATAAGTATATTTCTTGCCAGAGGACAAAAGAGGAATATTGGCAGATATATGATTCATTTGAAAAGTTTTCACTTAATTTTAGCTTGTTTCATTTAAAAATAAAACAAACCCAAGCCTGACACAAGCTATTATATACAAAATGCTGTGTTAGTTGCACAGCCCACTGGCAAGGTGAGACTCTACACACCTTGTTGCTGGTTTATTTTATTCCTAGAGCCTATTTGCTGCAGTCCTTTACCTTCATTTCCAAAGTAAAGAAATCTGCATCTTGAAATCAGATCTTATCCCCAAAGAAATTTTTAAAAATATGATATGGCACCATCTGACTGGAATATGAATAAAATAAGACAATAAGATATTTGACTCTCATTGCAGGTTTGGCAGCATTTTACTCGTGTTTATAATTTGTGATTCCCGAATCCCTGGGGCAGAACTCAAGCTACTGAAGATCTGGAGAGGAAAGACTTTTGCAGGCCTGCAGGTGGTGAACGCTGTGATTCTCCTGTTCAGGTACGATGGTTACAAAGAGTCAAGAACATGATCCTTTCTCCAAGCAGAGAACCCCATCTGGGGCAATGCTGACAATGGCTGGATGTCTTAGAGCTCTGGGGATGGGTCAGGGCAGCGTCACCGGTCCTTCGCCTGTGCTGCTGGCTTGTTAAGTGACATCAGACCCGCCTTGAAGGACCTGGCAGTGGGGGGATACCCAGATCCTGAGAACACTTGTGAGGTGCGTGTTCGGGAGGGCTCAGAGAGAGGTTTCTGTGGGATGCTCCGAGAGGCCTCTGGGTGGGATTTCTCAGAGTGGGTGTGTGGGAGGTCCCCATGTGGGGTCAGTGTGGGTCTCTGTGTGGGGACACAGTGGGGGACACCCCATTGCTGACCGTTCTGCCCACGAAGGCAGGCGAAGGGCTCGGGGATTTGCTCCTTCTTGTTTCTTGTTCTGTCGGTGTTTGCGGGGAGAGAGCAAATTGGCCAAGATTGCGTGTTCAGGTTCTCTCGCCCCACATTTTGTAAATAATGACTATGTAACAGCTGAGATCATTTATAGCACTGCACATGCCCGTCACGAGACACTTTCTTGGTCATGGACTGCTTTATGCAGTACGTCTGTAGAAGCTTCACCTGGAAAAGCCTGGAAGGGTTGTTGTGTTAGGTTATGCTATGACTGCTGCATCAGCCAGGAGAGAATAAATGTGTCCTACAGCTCCTCGAGTATTCTTCCAGCATCTCAGCTCACGCCTTGCCTACCCGGGGTTCAACGAACAGTACAGACAGTGTGAACAGGAAGAAAATCGGCGTCACGAACAGGATCAGCAGTACAGTGTCCTTCTGTTTCATTGCTCTGGGCCGGTGCCTAGCGGGCCCGGAACCCCCACACAGCACTCTCCTCTCGATGCCCCTCAGAGGACCTGGCAGCATCCAGGCTCAAGGTTCCTGCTCTGGGCCCCCCTCTCCTGAGCTCTGGCGGTCACTCTGTGACCTAGGTCCCAGCCATTCCCTCTGGCCCCAGCTGAGTCCCCGCTGCCGCGCCCACCCTGCAGGATGAGACCCAGAGTCAAGACCTGGATCAAGGGAGAAACCACAGTGTAAGCAGGCCTGTGCCCACTCTCACACCCCACCCAGGTCCTGGCCCCACCTGTGGGGGTTCTGACAGGCGTGGGGACAGGACAATTCCTGCTGCCTCCTGGATCAGGGGAGCCCCCTGGAGCAGGACTCTCCACCGTGGGAGTGACTGACATGGAGCCCTGAATTGCTCTAGGCAATTGCTCCTGTCTCCCGGCTTTCTTGTGCAAAAAGGCCTGGGGAGGAAAGCTGACAGCACCCTTGTTCCCCACAGGTCACTTCCTACCCGCTGGGTAACACATCCAGTCTGCTAGTCCTTTCTCCATCTGGGCTCTGTGGTGAGCAAGGCTCAGGGCAGGCGAGACTGGCTACAACTCTAGCACAGTCCCTGGGCCTGTTGAGGCCCACCTGTTCCCTGGCAGCCTCCTTGGGCCACATGAGTAAGGTAGAGGTCACGGACCGCGAGTCTGTCCCGAGCTCCCTGTCCTGTGAAAGCTGATTATTTACACTGTGGAGAAGTGAAGCTTCCCTGCTCAGAGGCTCCACTGCCTCTGGGAGCCTGGCCCTCTGTGAGCCTGGCCCTCTGTGGAGGAGCTCCAGCTCGCCTCACACAGTCTGAGCTCTGGGAACTGGAATAGAGGGGAGACTCTGGGGTGGGGCCACCAGGAGCCACCGGGGCCCCTAATTTCTTTCCTCTGGGCCTGTAGTTGTGGTGGGTTGCCAGGGGCTCCTTGGTCACTGCACCATCTATGGACACCTCTGCCACCTGCCTCCTTNCTTTTTGTAATGCTGGCATTGTGGAAACTGAAGGTGCAGTGACGGAATGGGGTTAGGATGAGTATCCTACTGAGGCCCACCTCCCTCCATGGTCCTGTCCCATCTGAAAGTCAAAGGCGGCACCTGGGAAGTGTGAACCTTGATCCCTTCCCTTCCTCCTACCAGGGTGCAGAGAGGCATTCACCTTTCATGAGAAAAAAGTTTCACTTTGGGAAACAATAAAATCTGTGGTACGAAGAAGTCATTATCACAGAGAGGATGTGCTGAACTTGAGAAAAAAAATTTTTCTATTTGCTAGGCATGCATTTTTTTCTTATAGAAAAGTTTTCCCACCAGGAAAGCTGTGACAATTGTGCTTTGATTAACTAGAAGAGGTTTATTTCTGAAAGAGACAGCGCCTTGGACAGTGGAGGGAATAGCCTGGAACACCTGTCACTCTCGATCCATGCTGCTAGCCTCTGCCTGGGTTGGGGGTGGGGGCTGGCTCCCTGGGACTGGTCCACTGGCTCTTTGTGGGACAGCTGTGGCCCATGGGGGTAGTTTGGTGATGGTGGGCTGTATCTACCATCACTCTCCTTTGCTTTTAATTGGAGAGAAACCTATGGGAGCCATAATGTGGACCTAATGGGTCTAGAGTTCCCCTTTGTACCAGGTTATCTCTGACGATTGAGGTCCACAGTGAAGCACCACCTTCTCCTCTAGGCTCCATCCAACAGCTGTCATGAAAGCCTGAGCCTCAGAAGTTCTGGTATCATAAGTAACCTGCTTTTGACTTGTCCCCGGCTCTGGTCAGCGGCTGCTGCAGACTTGCCTTTTTGCAGTGTCTCTTCCAATCCTTTGCCTTTATGGAGGGAAATCGACTGCAGATGTTGCTTAATCTTTTTTCTCACCCAGTGCCCTGATAGACTCTCCACTCTGCCAAACATTTTTCATGCTGTCCTAGTTTGAAACTCCTATGATTCTCTGTCCCACCAGTGGGGACAGCTTCTTGCTCTGGCTCTGATGTTGGGGCTGCTGCTCCAGGGTCTCCAGCTGCCCCTGCTTTCTCCCTCCACTGGAACAACTGGTCATAGGGCATCTGGGAATTGGACGTGTCTCCACTGGACAGGACAGAGATTCCTGCAAATACCAAGTGTTGGTAGCAATTAACATATCTGAGTGATATAGTCTTTGAGGAGTATGTTAGTGGCCCAGTCTTGAAGGAGCACTCCCCTGGTCCAGCCTTTTCTTCTGGTCTGTGAACCCTTGAAACTCAAGCTTACAAAACTCAGCCTGTAGATTGTCTATATTTGAGGAAACAGACTTAAAAAAAATTAACTTATTTATTTTAATTGGAGGCTAATTACTTTACAATATTGTAGTGGGTTTTGCCAAACATCGACCTGGGTGCACGTGTGTTCCCCATCCAGAACCCGCCTCCCACATCCCTCCCCATCCCATCCCCCAGGGCCATCCCAGTGCACCAGCCCTGAGCACCCTGTCTCATGCATTGAACCTGGACCGGTGATCTGCTTCACATATGATAATATACTTGTTTCAACGCTACCCTCTCAAATCATCCCTCCCTCACCATCTCCCACAGAGTCCAAAAGACTGTTCTTTACATCTGTGTCTCTTTTGCTGTCTCGCATGTAAGGTCATTGTTACCATCTTTCTAAGTTCCATATATATGCATTAGTATACTGTATTGGTGTTTTTCTTTCTGACTTACTTCACTCTGTATAATAGGCTCCAGTTTCATCCACCTCATTAGAACTGATTCAAATGTGTTCTTTTTAATGGCTGAGTAATATTCCATAGTGTATATGTACCACAGCTTTCTTATCCATTCGTCTGCTGATGGGCATCTAGGTTGCTTCCATGTCCTGGCTATTGTAAACAGTGCTGCGATGAACATTGGGGTGCACGTGTCTCTTTCAATTCTGAGGAACAGACTTTGTATTCGAGGAGAGGCTTTTATTGCAGCTTAGAGACTGTGATCTCCTCAAATCTATATTAATACTTTTGGATTTTATTAGCACACTAGGTTCAAAAGTACCTTTCCAACCAGGGTTCTCCTCCATGGCCTCTTGTCCCCTGGAAGATTGGGACCATGTGTCAAAGTCCACCACTATCGCACTAGAGCAAGAGTCTAGGGAGGCCCACCCTGGCCTCCTCCCGTGGCTCACTGATGGCCTTGGACTGGCTGCCTCTGTTAGCTCCCATGACAGACTGTGCCAGATTCTGCCCACGAAGTTATGTTTGTGGGCCTGAGGTGGCTTTCTTCTTGACCAGTCAGAGGGACCTCTGAAGGCTTGTGGACCTCGCCAGGTGAGGGTCCTCCCACAGCCCACAGCGGGCAGGGAGGGGACCCTCCTTGGGGGAAACTGCCTGTGTTGTTATCACTTTCTATCCTGGGTGGGGCTGAGGAGGTTCTCCCAAGACCTTGGTTCACTAGGCTTTTGAGTGGAACCCAGATTCATAGCTTGCTTTCCAGTTAGATCCTGGAAGGGGTATGCGGTGAACCTTTGTCAATTTCAAGCTAAGTATGAACTTGAGGACACTGAGGGGTAGGCCCCATACCTGTGCCTCACCCAAAACATTATTACACGTGCCTCCAGATCCTGCTGAATATAAGGACTGAGGACCAGAGACTCATGGAAAGTATTCATGGAGGCCTCACTATCCTGAGAGGAATCTGGATTTTCTGTTCACTGAGGAGACTTTGTCCAGGAAAGTCTGAGACAAGGTTGTCATCTAGTCTCAAGCAGTGTACAGCCACAGGGTCTGGACTCTCAGGGATCTGCTCTGCCTTCCTTTCCATAAGGACTCCCAAATCTTATGCTTCCTGCCTGGGCCCAACTCTTTTTGACTCGAGCCTCACTCTTGGAACCTTCGCTGTGGTGCTGGCTGAGGTCATGTGCAGATCTTTTAGGATCCCCCCCAAATTCTGATGTATATGGAAGGTCCTTTCCTGGTGGGATCTTTGCTGGGCACTTGGACTGTGCATCCTGGCTGCTTTTGCCTGGACCTGGAGAGGTCCTTGAGGGCGACTTCTTGCCCTGTACCTGACAAGGTCTTGGGAATTGATCCTGAGTCTGCATCCAATCCAATGCTTGCATTCTGCAGGGAACACCACTCTGTTGCTGCATGAACCTTTTGGAAAGGTGGTGCTCCAGTTTCTCTCAAACCTCAAGGTTGATCAAATCCCCAAGAAGGATGGAGACAGAATTGTGGGCCTGGGAAGACCTGTTCTCCTGGGGAAGGTTGGGTGTGACATAGCTAAACACCTGCTGAGATCTTCTAACCAAAGAGGGTAAAGTTCTTCCACTCCCTAGCTGCTTTTACAAAAAGTGACATTTCAGGATTTGAATTGCATTTGGATGAATGATTGTGCCTTAGTTTGGACTCTAGGGCAAGATACTTCACAACACCTAATCTGGCTGAGAAGAGATAGTCAGATTGGAAAATAGGGTTAGACACGGTCAGAGGTCTCTAACTGAACCCAAAGTGGTGGTTGACATTGGGGCATGGTTTCAGTCAAGGATTGAAGTTGAGCCTGGGTCACAGGGTGGGTCAAAAGATGGGCAAATGACAGCTGTGAAGTTACTTTAGCCTGAATTTGGAATGGTTCAGCATTAGAGAGTTCATTGACTAAGATAGGGTGTAGCTCTAGAGGAGACCCAAGTACTGTGACAGTCGCCACCAGAGACTCACTATACAGAAAGAGATCCCAGAAGAGCTGGCTGCCTGTCTTCTGTAGATGGTCCCCCAAAATGTCAGGATACAGGGGCTTCTCAGAACCAAGCAGTTGTTCTAGTTTGCCTTTTATGCTCCACAAGTGTTGGCGACCCAACGTGTCCTGCTTGTCACCAAGTGACTTGATCCTCTTCCCCAAAGAAGTCAGATGGTAGCCTGCCTCCACCTCCTTTTCTTTCTTCTTCCAAATCTTCAGTTCTACTCTCTTGGTGATCAGCGCCTCCAACAGCTTCTAGACATCCAGGTTGACAAAAGAGAGGCTGCCAGCCTCTGCCTGTCTGTTTGTGGGGTCTCCCCGAAATGAGACCTCTGATGGGTGGCGGGGAAGGTGTCCTTGCAGGGACTCAAGTGTATCAAGGTAGAGAAACTTCAGGCTTTGGCAGTCCCCTGCCACCAAGTCAGGGCTGAAAGGGACAGCTTGAAAGAACAAGGCCTGAGATGGCTGGTCTCCAAGGGGAGAGGGGTACGAGGTGCGTGATATGGTGCTCAGTGGGGGTGCTAGGGAGTCATCCCTAGTGAGACACATCATAGAGCCTGGTGGGGAGGGGGGCAGAGGAGTCTGTTATAGCTACAGGGCAGCCCCTGGGTCAGGAGGGCATGGCAGGGGAGGGGAAGGAGCAGGTGGCCCGAGTGAAAGTCTGTCCAGGGGAAGGAAAAGCTCTGGTGCTGAGAGAGAGTCAGGGAGGAATCTGAGTGAACAGAAACTGAGGTCACTGATCTTGGAGAAGCTGTGGAGGCCTGAGATGGAGGCTGCTCATTCAGCAGAGGTGGGGACACGGTGGGAGCAGCCTCTTGCCTGCATGGCTAGTGGGCTCCGGCAGTGGCTTCCTTGCACACCTCGCCAGGGGGTTCTTGAGAGGAGAGCTGATGAATGGTGTCCTTGTCAGTAATCTTCCCCAGGTGTCTGCAGGAGACAGGAGGCACAAGCTGCAGCCAGGAGTCCCTGGGGCCAGGAGGGCTGGGCAGGCCAAGCCAGGGTGGGCACCTACAGCCCACAGCCCTCCCTGGCCCCCATTCAACTTCACAATGCTCCTGCTGTCCTCACCCCAGGGCTTTAGATATTCCCCACTCCCCAGGACTCCCCCTCCCAACTCAGCCCCAGGCTGCCTGCATCCCTGGAATAACACCAGAGGTCCTGGGAGGAAGAGGAACCCAGGAGAGATGGGGAAGGTTCTTTACCTTTGCAGATGGGAAGCCAAGTCCCGGACCTCTTCCAGTTCTTTCAGGCAATCTCTGCAAGCTGGAAATCAGCAGACTGGGTCATGGTGGTGAAGACAGGGGCCTAGGGGTCTTATAGGAGGTTGAGTACACTGTCTCTTTAAGGGGACACCCCCCGGGAGATTGGAGCCCAAGTACCAGCACCCAAGGCCACAGAATGCCTGATAATGATGGTGAAGCTCAGGAAAGGGTTTATCATTTACAAAGTGCTTCCACATCCTTTATCCCTTTCTGCCTTTACAGTGCCTATGGGGAAGAATGCGCAGGGGTCACTTCACAGTGGAATCTGAATGAAGTTAAACCTTGCGTTCAGGCTCAGAACTAGAGGTCCCACCTCCCAATCCAGGAGCTACTGCTTCAGTGCAGCCCACACACCCCTGCTGGGCCACACCCTTTTCCAAGCCCCTCAGGACTTCATCCTGCATGGGAATCTGGGAAGTATTTGCATTCTGTTCTCTTCCCAGGAGCTGCCCTGGGGGTTCTGTTCCGAGGGACGGGTACCACCACTGACCTCCTTGGAGCCCGGGGAGCTGGGCCCTCAGGGCCCTGAGAGACACAGGGCTAAACATCAGAACCTACCTTTCAAAGCTCTATCTGTCTTCCTACCCCTGCATCTCCCGCTCAGCTGCATTTGATGCTGGGGGACAGAAAAAACGAGGACCTTGAACCCAATTCTCATTCTCCCCTCTCTAGACAAGCATCAGCTATTCAGGGTCCATATATCATACTTTCTACATTTAACTAACAGAGCTCTGTGGTTTTTCTTTCTTTTTACTCATTTTTTTTTAAAAGGGGACAAAAATATTTTGTTTTCCTTCTTGTAGAACGTAAAGTAGGATTTTCACTTTAGGTTCACCCTGGATTTCTTTTCTCACTGTTCCACTGCTCACAAAACACATACATTCTCAGACCCGTGGGCGAATCCGATTTCCCTTAGGTAGATCTCTGCTTCCCAATCCAGAGCCCCACCCCAGACCCTGCTCTGAGGCTCTCAGCGCTTCAGCACTGCCCTCATTCAGCCCCCGTCCAAGACCCCTATGACTGGCGAACCGGTGCTCAGAGTCCTGTACCATAGTTGAGATGAACTAAGTATCCAAGCCTCACCCCCTAGTCACTGTATTTGGGACTTTTCCTGAAACCCTCTTCCACACTTGGACACCTGGTCTGAAATATTTGAATAGAAATCCTAGTGCTCACTCTGTCCCCTGCCCAATCTAATTTGTCCCTAGAGGGGTGATGTTTTATTCTTCCTTGAGAATAGATGTCCTATTCTTTCCCATCTCAAGAGTCTCTCCAGCTGATTCAGAAAATTGGAAATAATAGAAAAAAAGAGAGAAGCATGTGTTTGTTGATCACGGCCAAGGGTTCCTTACCTTCTTGGTGTTTCTGTGTTTCCTAAGAGGTGGTAAAGTTGGTTTGTTCTGGAGATAGGGATGGAACAGGAAAAAGAGCCCCAGTCCAAGCAGAATAACAAAGATGGTTTCAGTCACCCCGGAAGTGGAACTGGAGTCCAGCCAAGTGCCAAAAGTGCTTTTAAGAGAGCATAGAAGATTCTCCATCATCTGAATCACATTGCTGTCCTCAGGCAACTAAGCACAGGGTGTATCTTGGGGGACTAAAGTCCTAGGTCCCCATCATAGAGTGGTGCTCTGGTCACAAAGGGCTCCTGAGCGTGGGGAGGGGCTACAGGAGAGAAGGCAGTAAACAGCCCCTCCCCAGCCATCCAACTCTGTAGCCCTACTCAGCTAACTTCTCATCCTGTTAGACAGACATTAGTCAAGTTTCGATTCTTCATACTTGGAACTCAGACAATACTTGGTTCCTTTGAGATCTCTGCTTGAGCCCCATCAATACCTTTTCAAAATCTGGAGTTATCCTGGTAGTTTTGGTTAATTCCAGGAATTTTTACTCTCAGGATGCCCTTGTGTGTAACTCCAAATTTTCCACATAGCATTTTGTGCCTTCCATCAACCTAGGCATAGAACTTAAATTTCATGTATACTTCTTCAGCTATGAGAATTTTGAAAATATTTAAAAATTTTTAAACTTTCAGTTAATATTCTGATATAGGGACTAGTCAATAATGGGACTGGGACAACTAATTATCATGGTATCATGGTGGCAAAAGATAGATTCCTACTTTATGGCAAGCAAAGATATCATTTCCTGTTGATTTAAGAATCGAAATACAAAAGGCAAAACTTTAATTTTTTTTTTTTTGGCACTTGGAAACCGAAGGATATATAGAAATGAACTTTTTAAAAAACAATGAGAAAGCTTAAGCAATAAAAATAGAGAAAAAATTACCAAGGCTTGATTTGTGATGCGAGATGTGAGCTATCCTAGAAAATATTTCATGTGCATTTGAGAAAAATGTGTATTCTGATGATTTTAGATGGCATGTCCTATAGATAGCAATTACAGCCATCTGGTCATTTAAGGCTTGTGATTTTTATTAATTTTCTGTCTGAATGAGCCGTCCATTCGTGTGAGTGGGGTGTTAAAGTCCGCCACTATTATTGTGTTCCTGTCGATTTCCTTTTTTATAGCTATTAGCATTTGCCTCAAGTGTTGAGGTGTTCCTGTGTTTCATGCATATATATTTATAATTGTTATATCTTCTTCTTGGATTGAACACTTGATCATTATGCAGTGTCCTTCTTTGTCTCTTATAAAAGTTTTTATGTTAAAATCTATTTTATCTAATATGAGTATTACGCCTTCCACTTTCTTTTGATTTCCATTTGCATGAAATATCTTTTTCCAGCCCCTCACTTTCAGTCTGTATGTGTCCCTAGGCCCAAAGTGGGTCTTTTCTAGACAGTATATGTAGGGGTCTTGTTTTTTGATTCATTCAGCATTCTGTGTCTTTTCATACATTTACATTTAAAGTAATTGTTAATACGTATGATTCAATTACCATTTAGTTTATTGTTTTGAGTTTGTTTCTGTAGATCTTATCCTTCCCTTGAGTTTCCTGCCTAAAGAAGTTCCTTTAACATTTTCATTACAAAGCTGATGTAGTTGTGCTGAATTTTCTTCACATTTGCTTATCTCTTCACATTTGTAATGCTTTTGATTTCTCCATCGAATCTGAATGTGATTTTTGCTGGGTAGAGTTATCTTGTTTGTAGGTTTTTTTCCTTTCATCACTTCAAGTATATCCTGATACTCCCTTCCGGCTACAGTTTCTGCTGAAAGATCAGCTGTTAACCTGATGGAGATCCCCTTGTATATCATGTGTGACTTGTCCCTTGCTTCTTTTAATATTTTTTTCTTTGTGTTTAAGTTGTTAGTTTGATTAATATGTGTCTTGGCATATATCTCCTTGGGTTTATCCAGGGAGATGTGTATGTACCTCTCTAGGCTTCATGGACTTTCGTGACTATTTTCTTTTCAAGTTAGGGAAGTTTTAACTATAATTTTCTCAAATATTTGATCACATCCTTTCTTTTTTCCTTCTTCTTCTGGTACCGCTATAATTCAAGAAGAGTTCCTCTTGATAGATTACAATGCTGTGTTCAGTCTCAAGCACTTTTACTTTATAACAAACTCCCACAGGAAGTGTTTTGGCAGTGATGCCACATATATAGAGGTACACTTTCTGCCATGCTCACAGCAGGGAAACAGTAGGGAACATCAAGATCTGAATGATCCAGAATCTTCATAACTGCTTCTGCCTCTTCGAAGTCAGTCAGATTCATGATCTGATGTCCCTCATCACCAAATCCTTCTAGGTTTCCAAAATATTAATTATAGTGTGACTTTTTGGCAAGTCTTTTCTAAGCTCATGACATTTAGATTTCTCAGCCCTCCTGACCTCTTGCTCAGGTTTTTCCATCTTCAAAATTATATTGACTTATTTGTCTACTCTCTTCTCTCTCTAATTGATTTAGTGAGTTTCATTAGGAAGCAAAAATGTATGATACGTTTAATCAGAAGTCTCCAAGGAAAAAAGGAAGGAAGGTAGGAGAAGAAGGTGGGAGAGAGCAAGGGAGAGAGAGAGGGAGGAAAGAAGAGATGGGTTAGAGACCAAAACTAACTTATTGTCATTTATCAAGGAACTGCTAAGTTTCTTGGTACTAAGGTACTAATTGGAAAGAAGATTCTACCATACTATTCCTTTCTCTTTATTTTTGGTGTGTGAACCTGAAAATGAGCAGAATCTTTGTGATTTGAATTAAAGAGATTAAAAATAAATATAAGCTAGTTACTCATATCACTAAAATTATAAGAATTGTATTATTTCTTGAGTAAGGCAAAAGAATTATACTTGTTAAGCCAAAGCATAATAAAGCAAAATCCT